GGTGTGTGTTCACGGTTTGTGTGTGTTCACTGCTGTGTGTGTGCACTTAGGATGGGTTAAATGCAGAGCACTAATTCCAAGTATGGGTCACCATACTAGGCCACATGTCACGTCACTTTTCCAACCACCCTACAATGATAAAAATCCACCCACTCCTCATTTTTTAATCCCCTTTAAACCAAGTCAGTCTCACTAGGCCTGCTGTTTTGATTCTCATGCAGTGTGATGTCACATTGCGTAGGGCGGGGCCACAGGGGTTGATTGACAGCCCAGCATTGCTATAGTTTCCGCCCTCAACGGTTGTACGCTGTCCTCCATTTTCTTCGTGCTCGAGCAGCTGTTACGTCAAAAATGTCTCAGCAATTTTCTCCCTACATCTGAGCTGCTGAGGTTGATGTGGATTACTTTTATTTTTCAAGGTAATGTGCCTCAACATCTACCTAAATACTTGTATCACTCCAGACTCCTTTTGAGAATGTCATGTCGTTATAGTGCTTAGCGTTTTAACCGTATTTGTGTGCATACATTAAGTATTTTTAACTCGTCAGCACCGCGCTTGTGAGATTAGTTCGTGCCGTTCGTAGTACGAAATTCGTTCGGTAGCACGGTCGCGTGGCTCGGTCAATTGATCCGCGCCGATGACAGGTCAGCGCGGCGCGAGCTCTGTAATATTGCGTTGTTTCATCCCACTTTCAGTGCATTTGGCTTCCCATATGTACGGCTAAACACCGGTTCTCTCGCTCTCAGTTATGTTGCTTCTACTGGCTGTTTATTGTTGTAGATATGCAATGCAGAGAGACGTACTGTATACGCGATGCCCTCTTCTGGAGACGGGGCGGGACTATGCAGCTCATTTGCATTTAAAGCGATACACTCCAAAACAGTTATTTTTTTAGACACACTCCAAAAATTATATATTCCAGCTGTTATAATAAATGATCTGTTGGGTATTTTGGGCTGAAACTTCACAGACACATTCTGGGCAAATATGATACATCAGGCTTTTGAGGAATATTTATTTGTTGATCTCTCAATCATCATTCTATTTCTCACTCATTATGTTTTGCCCCCACAATAAAAACTACAGAGCTTTGATCACAAAGCTCAGCATTTAAATAACAGCTTACTTAGACATTATTGGGAGATTGAGAGTAACAACATATAATTATAAGCAGTTTATGTAAATAGTCTTTCATATTGTTATAAAGACCTCATGGATTTACATTACGAGCTATTAGAATTTCATCTTTTTTTTTGGGGGGGGGGCTTTTATGGCTTTTTTATTAGATAGGACAGTTGAGAGCAGACAAGAAAATATTGGGTGGAGATAGGGGGGCGGGATCGGCAAAGGACCTCAAGACAGGAATTGAACTCAGGTCGCCGTGAGCCAGTGTTAATTCGTTGACGAATAACTTTCGTCAATTTTCGTCAACTACATTTTTTTCACCAACAACAACGAGACGATAACGAACTAAAACTCTTTTTGAATGACAAAAACTATGACGTAAATCTATTGACATTTTCGTCAACGAATAAAAACGAGACGAAAATGTTAGGGAGGGACGATTTGGGAAGAGATTCATTCAGAACGAAAATGCTGCATAGTTAGGAGGTTAACGTTAGATGCATACATATGAACCGGCGCGACATAAGCTAACATACACTTGCTGCACGTCGCATAAAACATTCAAAAATGTCAATATGTGGGAGTAAGAGAAGAGCAGACATATGGATAAATCTGACGACGCAAGACAGAACTCAATTCTGTCCGGTTTTCAGAGCGCAGACACTGAAGCATACACATACAGAAAGCGCATCTCACAGCGCGCGAGTACTCTCTCTCTCTCTTATTACACACAATATAATGTTGAATTGTCCGTTTTGACGAGTATTCACGTGAACACAGTTGATTACGTCTTAAATGAACGTAAACAGTAGGGAGAACGTGTATCGGTACATTGCATCCATTGCAGCTGTGCATTCGGTTTTAAAGGGATAGCAGCCTAATTTAGTTGCTATTGTCCGAGTCATTGATGTTAATCAA